TGATACATCTTGTTTAAGTGTGTCCTCTTTCAAAACAAAAGCTAGACTTTGTCTGTAAAACATTTAGCCAGTTGTCATCCTGTATCCTAATTAATGATTGTTTTTAGGGTAAAGTATTTTGACCCAGATAAAAGCAACTGTTCCGTCACAATCGTTTCAACTAGAAGAAGATGAAATGAAGCTGCATCCTAACACACTCTTATCCAGACGCTACATCGGTGTCGTACTCCATCACCTCTTTAGGGCGTCTCGTCTGCTGGCATGCGATCAAGGCCTAAGCATCTGCAGTGAATGCATGAAACCTGTGAAATCTAAAAGCTGAGACACAACTCAAGCCGCATTCTCCTAAAGCAAACCCGAAAAAGAGAAATTGAACTGAAAAGTGAATGCATAAAACATGACAGCTGGCGTTTTCCTTCAAACAAAATAATCTTGACCAGCTGTGTTGAAACGCGCATAATAAAAGACGAAACGAGGCGTTGCTGATTAGCATGCATGTCACACTAACAGTACAGCTTGACTCCCCCGAAAACTTGGAAACTTGCAACAAAATGCTCTCAGCCAGTCAATGTAACATCATACTGCGTGTCCTCCTGGTGAAATATCCTCTTAGATTGCTTGCATTGTGCACGTAGCAATGATCTACATGGCCACCAACTTCGCCATTAGGAACACAGCAGTTATATTAGCCTTTTTAATGCAGTAGAGGATGGAGCCGCTCCACACTGTTGAATAATTACACTTAATACTGAGTGTTTGAGATGAGGCTTCGGGCAACTGTGAATGTGTGTAGTTTCCAACATATGCAAATAAATTACCATAATGCAGATCGCACTCAGATTTGTGCTCATGGCAGCTGCAGAAGTTGAAACGAGAGTTGACCCCACTGCAGAGCTTGAAGACCTGCTTAATAAACAGCGTAACCAGTGTTACCGCAGGGCTTCAAATCACGAAAAGAGCAGTAACGGAAACTTTTTTTGTTCTACATCAATAGTTGTAAACCTGAAAAAGAGACTGAATAAGTATCGAATACAAAAAACTAAACATCGTAACACCTGCTTCCATTGCCATGCTTCAGTTCTTTGACGGTGGACGTAACACCAGAGAAAGCAGAGTATTTTAGCCTATGGGCACTAAATATGATGCAACAAGGGTATATCATTCAAACAAAGACTGCTAGCAGTATAGTTAATGAGAAGATGGAGGATAAGTGAATGCAGTTGGACTTGCACAGTCGTTGTCAGTGTACATACAGTACAGTTTTCTACCCAACGCTTCTAAGCTGGTATATCTCACCCTCCGACACGACCGCAGTGCCACAGCTCGACAATTCTCACGAGTTCATTGGTGTGAGCATCTGAGCCCAATGTGAACTCTAGCCCAAATGTGACACACTGGCTCTGGCCATATGCAAGCTTTTCACCCCTCCTCCCTCCACTGATACTGCTGTTGTGAGTACACAAGTCATGACTGTTGGCTGAGGCAACACTCTGACTCACATAACCCCTCACAAAAGATCTGGCCAAGCTCCTTCAGCCCAGGCCAAGCCAGGCCGTCTCCGCATAAGTCTCTAATTGATTTGATGGACTTGTGTGCCGTTCACACCCCTTCCCCAAACAAACAGTCCGCCCAAGATCTGCCTCCATTGAGACAAAGAGGCATTGCCCGCCCTCCCTTAGCAAAGCCACACTGTGAGCGCCTGAGAGGCTCGGCGACGGCCTGCCAAACTTGTTAGTTTCACTGCTGGGCCTCCGGGAAGGTTTGAGCATGCTGTGAGACGATTCATCATACTGCAAATCAAGGCTCCCACCCCCATTCTTCTCCTAACTCCCAGGTCAACCGGAGTTGACTCAAGTTCACAGTCGACGTTTCCACAACTGCAGCCAAGAGCGTTGCATAAGGACAGCCATGATAACTGCTCTGAAGCGCAAGAGGGTGGTAAAGCAGATGTATTATTTGTATCTGGGTTGTTTGGGATGTAACCCACTGCAATCAAGACCTCTGCTGAGTTTGTGGCAACCTGTGGCTTTCCTCAAGAAATACTCATGATTTTGCACTGTGCATAATTCATCACTATGAGCTGGGAGGACATTTAGGATTTGGAGGGACTATTTGGATACAAATCACATCAGGGAGTGTGATGCGCCTTTTAACTAAACAATCTCAAAAGAAGAAAAGCAGGTCCAGGAACGAAGATCAGAAGCTAAACCAGTAAATTAGTGTTGTTTTGTGATTAAAGCACATTAAAAAAATAAGGCAAATAAGACCCAGCAAGAAACTAAAACTAGAGTTATGTTCTTACACTCCAAATGCAGTTTAGGAACATGTAAAGGGGGCCTTCTCTCAACTTGCAAGCAGTGAGCACATCAACTGAGAAGATTGGAGGTTAGTGTGTGGGGATAATGGACATCCTATAGAAGCCTTCCTGGTGATGAAAGAGAGGAAGTGGGTACAGAGTTAATAATAACATCTTAGCCGTGACAACTAATAAGTAATTGGTGCATCAATGTTTCGTGTTACTTTAGGATGGGTTTGAAGTCTTTCCACCTTGAATTCGACTTCAAATCCAATGGCTTTTAATATCCATTAATTTGGTCTACAAAAAGATACAAGTTGTCAGTATCAAAAGTATTTTTGATACTGCTTCTAGTATCCAACTCGATATTAATATTGAAAATAATATGTTTGGGTTGAGTAACAAAACCAAGAAAACAAAGTAGGATATCCAATATGTAAGACGATATCTAGTCCCATTTGACATTATTGATATCATTTTGGTAAATTGCTGTGCTCTACATCCATGCTTATGGGTTATGCTTTTGTAGTCATACTAGGTTCGCAATGATGAGGCATACATATTTAGTTATCAATGTAAGCTGTACTAAGATAAAACATAAAACAGACAAATGTACACTTGAATCATGTTCACAAATGGCTTGAACACAATTCAATTTCAATTATTCCTTTTTGCTCAAACAGCACTAAACGTAGTGCAGCATCCGACATCCAGTAAGGCTTGACAATGAATCTTTAGTTTGTGTTGTGCATTGATTCATCATGTTAAATTGAACATATATGTTTGTTGGTAAAATGCTAGTTGTGGGTCCACCCAGTGTGTGTTAGGGCTCTTGTCTTCACTGCTCAGGTCACATTAACCCAGTTCTCACAGTTTATTTAAAACACACACACACACAACACCTCCCTGTTGTCAGCGTTGCTTCAGGCTCCTTCACGCTGTTATATTTCCAGCATCGCTGGCCGATGATCACATTATTTACTGCTTGTATTAACATGCGGCTTGATAAGCATATTCTCCTCAGTAGAGCTAACAAGATGCTTTATCACCGAGCCTTTCCACCCGGCCTAGCGGGCCGCCGTCGCTCGCTCGTATTTCCACCCTGTTAGTTTACAGCCTCGTAAATAACAACTTTTCTCCCGCTGAGATTTAAAGCTGGAGTTTTTGCTGTAAAATCAGATTTAACTTTGAACATGAAGACAGATTTTGGTTGTGAATTATAGACCCAGAAGTGTAAATCAAGTTTGATCTCTGCTAAATAAGCAAAATATCTTGTGAATATACAGCATAACAACAACACAGAGTTAATATTCATAATGCTAAAATCATCTAGTATCTGTCAAATGTATGGAGTTAAGTATTTACATTGGTGTGTTCGGTTTTATGAGTTGATCCCTAATTCTTAATAATAACAATGCTACCAAAAATATTACATCGAAATATTAGTTGATAAAACCATAATAAACAATAAGGTTTAATATGATTACAAAAAATTAAATAATATAAATATAAAACATGTCCCCATAATTGGTGAATCTATTTAAAACTGACTTGATGTGTTTCAGAAGTAACTTTTGTGTCAGTCAGGACGCTAATAAGGCAGCTACAGATGTTCATGTGCTGGCGACGTTAAGATAAAGGAAAATTGTCAGAGAAACTTATAATAACTCATTCATCAACCCGCGACGCAATTATCTCCTTTGTTTCTTTGATTAGACACAATTACCCATCAAGTCTTTTGTTTTACCTTTTTTGTATGTGAAGTTAATCATGTCAACTGAAAGGGAGCGTTGCACGTTTTTGGCAGTATGCGTGGGCATGTCATTAGCAGCAAATCTGCGTCTTTAATTTGTTGATTATCTCTTAAAAGAGAAACCAGGATGTGTGTGATCTCTCTCGCACCAATTATGTCTGAAGGATCAATGATTCGGTAATGATACAAATATGAAATGTTTGGGGGATTTTGGAAATCGCTTGGCAAATATATAAATATTCATTGCAAATCAAATCCAGTTGAACAATTAAAACCCCATTTTTACATTGAAGGAATACAAAATTACAAATCAAGCTTTTTTTTCTTATTGCTCGAGATTCATTTAAGGTCAGGGTCGCCCAAGACCAGCCTTCACTTTCACCTCTCGAACCAGGCGCCACGCCAAACCCATATCCTCCTGCATTAGTCTCATCAGGGAATTTAATATGTGCCACCCTGTAGGAGGGGAGCCTCCCTGGCACGTGCACAACACACACACACACAAACACACCGCCCCGTCTTGACAGCTCACTCTAATTACTGGCCCTGCCTGTCGCATGGCCTGCATCTCTGCTAAGAGCAGATCACATGTGACCCCGTCCAGCATGCCGCTGGTGGGGGGGGAGAGAGGGGGAACCATGCAGAGAACACACCCACTCCCACATACACTGATGGAAAAATGTAGGCCAATCAAAGATCTTCATTCCAAAATAAGATCTTCAGCACTTGATAATATATCTGCTTACTCTCACAAAAACAGGACTTGCGTCCAAGTAAAGCATATTAACGCTAATGACTTTGATGTTGACAGATGCATTTAAAGTTAGACCAAGTGGATATCTACCATATTTCATTTTGGAAAGAAACAGTTTCTTTTTTGAATGGTTCATATTAAAGGCTTCTGTCCTCTATTAGAAGTGGTGCACAGTAATAACAAGCCACACAGTGAAACTGATTTAGTAACATTTACTCAAACCATGCATGAGTGGAAACCAGAGCAGCAATCCATGTATGCAGATTTGTAATGATATTTAAAATATGTTGGTCTCCCTGACACATCAGAAACTGAGAAGTTAGAATCAATGTGTAACCTTGAATATCCTAACACACGTTTTATATCTCTAATCATGAAGGCGAACATCATCATATCATTCAAAATCTAATTCACCAACAACTCTGTACTTGCTTGCTTTTATACAAATATTGACATATATGCACATGTTTTATTTCTGAATATAATATCTACTGCAGCAATGAGGAAAGACAAATGACTATATTTCACCATCTACACATTGTAACTGCTTTTATCACGCTCAGAGGCCTTCGTGCGACTTGATGGATACGTTCTGCAGAGAAAATTGTTTCGACTCTTATCAGGTGATCCAGACAGATCATTGTCTAATATAGAAAGTATATAAGAAAGTATAGTTTTAGAAAATGTTTAGTACACATAAGCAACAACAATTTTCTTCCTCCATTCTCTGCCCCTTATATCTGCAATTATATATCTTTTTGTTGTTGCTATCTGGAAGAGGTTATCGACTACTTTTGTCCAAAGACCAACGTGTTCCTTAAAGCTCGACTGTATATGTTTTCAATTTCTCAGACAATAAATGCTGTTTTTATCTCCATGAAGACTTTCAAATATATATTGATTACTAGATATTTAACTAGTCAATGCTTCGCCTGTGAGGCAGTCCACTGGGGTGATGGGGAAATTCTAAAATGACAGACCATAATTGCAGAATGCAGGTGGAAATATATACTTGTTCTTACCGGTTTGACACTATTATTCAGCAAGTGAGGTAATCCTATCGCCTTCTTTAGTTTGTGTAGGCTGCTTGCTTATAATAGTCTTATAATGTGTTTTATAATATCTTTATTATCCGCAGGGGTTAAATAAATAATTCCCAACAAAGTCATATTAATATCTTGAAACAATATAGAGAAGAAGAAAATGCTAGATGTCCTAAATACCATAACACATTTGTTCCTGTTAATGTATTTGTCATCATTGCTGTTGGTATGTATGTATCTAAAAACCCTTAGGTTTCAGCAAGTTCATTCTGTTGACCAAAACAGTGTTGTATCAGAAGGGCCAATGTTATTTAAAGCAAAAATAAGAGCTGTTTAGTTGATGTGGTTGTTGCCTGGAGACATGGTGTGAGCTTATGTTTTAAGTGCAGTTCTGAGTGTTTGTGGCGTCTCTCCTGGCTGCTCTGGGAGGACGGTTGTGGCGATGACACGTAATTTAAAAGTACAGATGAGCCCACTGGCCCTCTGTCGACGCTGATACACTGTGGCAACCAGAAGAAAAATTAACAAATGGCCCCCTCTTTATTTTCAGTTTATGTTTGGAATCCTTGTTCGGAAGGCTTGCACATGTTGTCTGAGCATGTTGGACTGCAGATCTGAGCTTCTGGGACATTGAGCAGCTGTGTGTCCACTGTACAACTGGCTTCTTTTTCTTTCCTTTTTTGTTGTTGTGGAATTTGGGTGCTACTGCAGTTTGCATGTTTTTATACAAAGTGTTCTACAAGTTAGTATCTTACTTGTGTCATCATTTAAGGTTGTAATGCTTTTTACTGTATTTTCTTTGCCAACTAGCACCTGATAAACTGTTATCTATATTTTGCTAGATTGCAAAATAATGTAATGCCATAATTTCTTCCAGTCTGCCCACCTATCTGCTTTTCCTCTCACCTCTGAAAGCCGCTCGCATTTTTAGAAACAACGCAGGCGGCTGAAGATGGCCCAAACTTAAGCTATCGTGACCTTTTAGAAGTATTTCAACTTTTATCCAAAGAACATGGTGCTCCAAACTGGGTTTCAGTAGCCTGTTTGCACCATTAAAAGCTGTGACTAGTTCTTCCTACAAGCATCTGCTTAGCACTACTAGCTTAAGAAGCAAGTGGTTGACACAGGGATTTTTTTGTGAATGCTTTGCAAAACAAATGTTAAATTCTGCGGCATTCGGGTATCGTATGGGAAATATCTTTTTTATGTAAGTCCCATCACAGGTGAGAACAAAAGTACCATTGTATCAGGAGAAGGTGCGGCCTATGAACTGGATCTTCTTTAATAGACAGTGCTTCAGTCAGTCCTTTAGCTGTAAACCCAGTTGTCTGGCTGGAGTGGGTTGACTTAGACGACGTCTGTCTAACTCATTTCGGCACATATCATCCTGAGAACAATCCCTCCTCTGTCTGATCTTCCTGGCAGCGCTCCACGCCGATCCTCCCACGATCTCCCTCTCTTATGATTATTTTATCATTTTAAATTCTTTATGCCGCATTGCCGTGGCATCGTCCCCGCTAGAGCAGAGCGGCTCGTTGGCCATACAGTACATTCACACTACAGTTATTTGGACGGCGCTCCGGTGTGGCTCTGTCCCGGTCCCTCGGTTGGATTCTGCTCGTCCATTAGTGCCATCTGTGCCTTCGTGCGCCGTCTGTGAGGGCCCTGTCGACGCCAAAACGGTTGGCATTTCTCTGGAACAACCAGAGGGACGGTGCCCAGAGCTTTTAGCTGCCAATGATGTGCACTTACTCTGAAAAAAAAAACAAGAGGGTGAGGCGGGGGGAAGGGGGTGGAAGGAAGCAGGAGGCCCCGGCAGGAAACAGCTGCACCTACTGTACCGCGGCGTCCATGTTTAAGCTTCAGGAGAAACCACTTATCCCTGCAGCATCTGACAGCTGATACAGAGTCGAGAGCTGTGTCATTTTAGCCATTCAGATGGCAATATTGGGCACAATGGTTGGGTGCATGATTGAGCAGGTACATGTTAACAGATGCTGCAACAGGAAACAAAATAAAACTGAAAACACCAGGTCATCATGCATCAGAAGGTGTAAACGGTTCTGTTTTGAAATCAAGCGAGCGGCCTCATCTTTCCAACGTCCTATTTTCCAACTGAATATCTCCATTTTGATGCTGCCATTGTGACTTGGCCATGTGGCTAACCCTTTAACAGATGCATCCTTTACTCTGGCAAATACCTGGGATACAGACTTGACCGATTATATTTTTTAGCATTTAGACTTTCAACTTTTACTGTTCCATAGCTTACAGGAAGTGTTGTAGAATAAGGAAGCACATATTGGAGCCAATGGCACTATTGGCATACCAACAAAATATGACAGGGAGAATGAACAACAATTTTTCATCAGGTATCATATCTTAAACACATTTAATTTATATATTGCTTTTCAAGACTCACAAAGATGCTTTACAAAAGTCACATTTAACAAACACAGTCATACAAGAAAAACAGACACTTTAAAATCAAACACAATCTAATGCTCTAATGGAGCTATCAGAGTTCATAATGATAGAAAACGTACATGAAGAGAGATTACTACAGATGATCTGCACCCAGAAGCTAAAGTTTTGGTAAACATTATTTCCAAATGGCAGTGCGAACTTCAACAAAAGGCCAAACCAAAAAAATGCTAACGCTGGCTTGATGGTTATGACCAAAGCAGCTGACCTTTTTGTCTTCACAAAAATGTTCTCCTTCTCCACTCAGTAAAATATTGTCCTGTCTGCACCAAGTGGGAGTCAGCAATGCTCTGACAGTCTGCCGACAATATGCTGCTGCCCGCTAGCATAACTTTTTACTGCAAGCTGTCACTCATTTCCTCTCTGCTCCCTGGGTCACTGAAGTAGCCATCAGAGCTTGATTTCCCACTATCCACAACTTGCCTGAGATGTAAATGTGGTGTCAGAGGTAGTATTTCTTTATCATATGGTTTGATGGTAAGTTTTTGCTATTGCAGAAACAACCATAGACTGGATATAAGATTAGACGCAATCACAGTGATGTCAGCCATTAGTTTATAATGTTGTGGCCTTGAGTTCGGCATATTGGCTAGTGCTTCTTGTTTTTTGGAAAACAAGTGGCCATATTTAGCCAAGATGGTGGAACTGAAGAGAAGCGTTGCTCCCCTCGTCAGCTTTGTAAGCAACGTCTAGCCGTTATTTATGTTCACAGGGATATACAATGACTGGCCAATTTATTAGGTACACGTGTTAAACTGCTGGTTAACTCATATATATAATCAGCCAATCACATGGCAGCAACTCAATGCCTTTAGGAATATAGACATGTTCAAGACGACCTGGTGAACTCCAACAGAGCATCAGAATAGGGAAGAAAGGTGGTTAAAGTGACTTTGAACTGGTTGTTGGTGCCAGGCGGGCTGGTCTGAGTATTTCAGAAGCTGCTAATCTATTGGGATTTTCACGCACAACCATCTATAGGTCTTACAGAGAATGGTCCAAAAATAGGAAAATATCCAGTGAGTGGCAGTTCTCTGAGCGAAAATGCCTTGTTGATGCCAGAATTCAGAGGAGAAAGGCCAGACTGGTTCAAGTTGATAGAAAGGCAACAGTAACTCAAATAACCACTTGTACAACCAAGGTATGCAGAAGAGCATCTCTGAGCGCACAACACGCTGAACATTGAAGCAGATGGGCTACAGCAGCAGAAGACCACACCGGTGCCCCTCCTGTCAGCTAAGAACAGGAAACTGAGGCTACCATTTGCACGGACCATAGAAGATTGGAAAAATGTTGCCTGGTCTGATGAGTCTCTGCTGCGACATTCGGACGGTAGGGTCAGAATTTGGCGTAAACAACATGAAAGCATGAATCCATCCTGCCTTGAGGTTGGGTGTGAGGGTATAATGGTGTGGGCGATGTTTTTCTTGCCATACTCTGGGCCCCTTAGTACCAATTGAGCATTGTTTAAAAGACACAACCTACCTGAGTATTGTTGCTGACCATGTCCATCCGTTTATGACCACGGTGTAAGCATCTTCTGATGGCTACTTGCAGCAGGATAACGTGCCGTGTCACAAAGCTCAAATCATCTGAAACTGGTTCCTAGAACATGCCAATGAGCTCACTTTACTCTAATGGCCTCCACAGTCACCAGAACTAAATCCAATAGAGCACCCTGGGGATGTGGTGGAACGAGGGATTTGCATCATGGATGTGCAGCGGACAAATCTGCAGCAACTGCGTGATGCCATCATGTCAATATGGACCAACATCTCTGAGGAATGTTTCCAGCACCTTGGTGAGTCTATGACATGAAGAATTAAGGCAGTTCTGAAGGCAAAAGGGGGTCCAACCTGGTACTAGCAAGGTGTACCTAATAACGTGGCTGGTGAGTGTAAGTGCATATATAAGACTAGCGTAATCTGTGATTATAACAAAATGTACTAAGGAAAAAAAGGACAACCTTCCTTTGTTTCTTTTCATATAACGCTAAACAACGTGACCTTAAGAATACACTGCTTTATCTTCTGTCTCAGAATAGGGCTGTAATCATGCTGAATGACGGACGACTTCAAACTAGAAATAGAGAACCTAAATGTATCACTGTAATGTTTCTGAAGTAATAAATCAAGTGAGAAGTTGGGTTGTTTTTTCTCGTACACTTCTATACAATCTCCCTGGACAAAGCCAGTTTCATAAAACATGGATGCATATACCGTTCCTGTTTTTAGGCAGAAAAAGGTTTTCCTTAAGGCATTACTTATTATCCAGCATCTTCCAACATGTGTGCTAAACTTAACAGTGAAAGTCGTGTTTTTTCTTTTTGAATCTTGTCCTCCTGTGTACCTTATGTGCAACTGCCCGAGTTGTCAGCGATCATCATGTATTTGGCCGAGTCTCAGGTGGCTCTGATTTCCCAGCAGGCCAGATGGCAGCGCTGTGTGGGCAGTGTGTGTGTGTAAGGGGCTGTGAGAAGAGGTCCAGCAGCCTCATGGAAGGGAGGATTGCTCACACCCTGGCTCTCTCCTCTGTCCCTGTGCAGCTGTGCTTCTCCCTCTAACTTGAACTTTTAATTTGTTCAATATGTGGCAGAGGACACGGAGTAAAACAGAACACATGTCTGGTGGCTGAGGCTCCACAGGCAGGGACTTGAAGAGGGATGATGACACTGTGTGGTGTTAATTCTTAGTTTTGTTTTACTTGTAAAAGTCTGCTGCTTCCACCACAGAGCATGACTGTTACATTGCTTTAGGAACAGTTCACACTTTTTGGATTTGTTGTACTTTGTTTGTATGCACCAGCAGGAAACAGTTAAAACATTTAACCAGATTTAGAATTGACCGTTGAAATTATTTCCTGGCCAAGTCAAACTTTTGGATTTAAAGTTAAAACGGCCAACTTAAGGTCCTGAATAAAATACATCAAAAAATATTCACTTAAAATCCAATGTGTGGCACCATCATTCTTTACAACCTACAGAAGTACATTAAAAAAAACACCATGTTTTCTTTTTTGTGACTATACTTTATGAAATATAATGTTTTTTTGGGTGTGTTTCTGCTATTTTTATGGCACATTTTTGTATAACCTTTATTTTGCCTTCTGTTACCGATAACTTTCAATGAATAACAACATGTTTTTGTATTTATTCGTACATTTATTTTACTTTGTCCATATCAGAATTGAGCCCTGAAGGTAAATGATCTTAACTGTTCCTTGTATTGGATAGCGCCCCAACGCATTGTGCGTGATAGGCTTACAGTCAACAAGTATTGTGCCTTATATTACCTTAAACATGGAGCAAGGATTCTCTTTGTGGTTTATGACCGGAACATTCCTTGGGATTTCTGAAACCAAAGCTTTCCTCAGACCCTTTTCAAATGCAAGTGTAGCAGCAGTACGCCCTGCAGTGAAACATACAACAACAACTATATGATGCAGAACGGATTTGCTGTTCAGCTCATTAACAATTTGACAAAACAACAGACAAGTGTTGGAATAATGTGATAAGTGTTGCTGTTGGACTAAGTAAACCCTAGATTAGCTAAGATACTGTATAGGCTGTGAAGCTCTAATGTGGAAAAAAGTCTCTGCTCTGGTAATAAAATCTTTCAAAGCCTGTAGCTTATCACTGCAAAATAAGCATCTTGCAACTGGATTACAACTCTCATGCTTGCAAGTGTTTTCACACTACAGTCCAGATGGGAGATTCGTTCTGTAACCTAAATGGATGCCTTCTTTCACGCTTCTTCTCTTGTTCTTTCAAATTGTAAATGTGACAAAACTATACAATCAATTAATACGACGAGCCAATACAAACATTTGGAAGGGGTCTAACGCACCATCAGCTGTGCTTATTTCCATTTATTTGTCACCCAACAAAAATGTGTGGAGACCCGTTTCAAACTCGTTTGAGACGTACACATGGCAGCTTCATTTTTCAGTTTTATTTATTTTGAACTAAAAGATTATTGAGGATTTCTAAACAATATATTAAATAGTAAAGGAAAAACTGATAAATGTCTATTAAAGCTATAATGCTCCTTTTCAGGTTTCGTAAATTGTATTTTGTGACTCTGACATGTCCACATGCTTTTACATTCAAAAGGTCTTTATTTTTCTCATACTGCCTGTGCTGCAGCACCTCTTTTCACCCTCTGTCTGAAACCAGAGCCCAGTCTGCTCTGATTGGTTAGCTGGCCGGCTCTGTTGGGATTGGGCAACCGCTTAGAGATGTCCCGCCCCTTTGCCTATCACGTACATTGT